TATTTATATCTATTAAAAACCCATTCATTTGCCCCTGGCTATGACTCTACTATTTTTTGAAATGGTTTTAATACATAATAAGCCCTTCTAGACAGTCTACTGGGTTATTTCTTGGCCTCTAAACTATACAGCTATCAAAGGTTTTTTTTGGGGGAAAAAAATGACTCTTGCCTGAATCTTTAGGTCAGTGTGGTAGCAAACTTTAGGACAATAATCCCTAGCTGATTTTTATCCTATCCTTAAAAGAGGAAAAAATTGTGAATACAAAAGGTTTGATAGTCAAAGAATGAATTTACGTAGCTCACACATATAAACAAACTTTGGAGATTCTTGGAAAGGGTTTGCCAAATTCAATTTCCTTTATAATTGTGGCCACTGTAAACTCCTCTCCAAAGCCTTTGGGGTCATGAGAAGGCCAGAATAAGAACTATAGTTGCAGCAACGTGGAGTGTCTATGTGTAATGAGGAATATAATTTCTTTTATTAAATATGGCACAAGAAATAATTATCAAAGTGGACCCTGATTTCTAATGATATATAATGCAGTTTGGTGTTGTGGAGGAGTAGTAATAGCAGATGAATCATGAAATTAACATTTGTGAGACATTAATTAGGCCCTTTCTAATATCATGCAGTACCTGCTTGTTTTCTCTGCCTTTCATTGATGTTGAAATAAAGAAAAAGCACTGCCCTATTCTAGATAGCTTTATAAAAATGTAACAAAATATCTCTGGATGGGGTTCTTGCTGTGTTAGGACTCAGGTAGCATTGCCTTTTCTTTCTTGGTGTCTCACTTGACTTTTTTTTAAAGATTTATTTATGCATACAGAACTGGGGTACAGGCCAGAGGTTCAGGGGCAGTGAGAGGATTCACCAGAGATAGAGTGGGGAGCAGAACAGGCAGATCAATGAAGAACACTGCTGAGGGGAGCAGTGGGCAGGTCAGGAGAGGTCTGCCACGCCATGTGGGTCACCTTCGGGTCTGGGGATCGAACTTGCACTGAAGTGGCTGCAGCTCGCTTGCAGTGCTGTGTCCTAACCTGTTGTGCCACTGGGGAGGGCCCTCACTTGACATTTTAATGATTATTTCAGTGGTCCTAAATATCTCATATGATGATTTTACCTATGTTTCGGGCCATGTCCCTGGTGTTAGGACATTACCTGATACAGGTACCAAAAGGTATTTTTTGAGTTGAATTGGGAAAAGGATTTTGTCTCTGGAGACAGATGATCCTTTGATAGGATCCTGACTCTTACACTGGGTGACCTGGGGCACATTGCTTCAGATCCCAGCGCTTTGTTCTTCTTGTATACAAGGTACTGCCTTGACGGACTCAGTGCACCAAGCACCAAGCACTGAGCTTAATAAGTACTGGTCACTTATGAAATGAACTTCCTCTTCTTAACTCATATCCATCTCATCTTTTTTTCTGTTAGAACTTTTTGTTTTTCAGAATGCAGTTGATTCAAAAGAAAGTATCTTCAGAAGACTATAGCAATTTGTAAGATGACTCTTTAGAAACAGAATTCCTAGACAGAAGAACTAACTTCTGTATCCCTTAGTAAAATAACCGTCAAACCCCTCCCACATCAGATGTATGTCAAGATAAACATAGAAAAGACCACTTTTTAGATTTCTACTGACTGTCACATTCATTATTTTTAGATAAGTGAGGACATTGGGTTTGATTGTATCTTTGCTTTTTCAGTTTTATCTTCCACTTTGCCAAGTAGATTGATACATGGCTCTCTTCTACATGTAGGGTGACCCAAGTGCTAAAAATACAGACCTTTCCCCTTCTTGGATATTTCACGGTTGATAAAGTAAATTCCCCTAAAAGCGATTTCCAATTACTCTAGTCTTTGAGGTTGGTGACATATTCTCACTATCACCCAATTGTGGTGGTATACTTAAATCCCTCATTTATTTTATTAATTAATATTGTAATATGTTATTGTTGCTTAATATATACGTGTGGATTTAGTTCTGTGAAGGATAAATTAGAATAAGAAAGAATTTCAGGGTGTGGACTATTCTCAGGGAGGAAATAAATGTAAACAAACCTAAATATATTTATTATATATGTTTTAAGTGACTTGTGTAAATATGGGTGTTAAATAAGTGGTTACCAGTATTATTACTAGGCTGATGATTAAACTGGACATACAGATTTTACATACAATAGACAGTAGGGAATACAGGCTTATGTCAGCATGGTAGAGCTACATGTTGTTTTGAAGTGCAAGATTTATCATATATGGGGTGTTACAGCATAGGCTATCCAACAAAAAGGAAGTTGCCAACAAAGACTAACAGAAACTAATGGGTATAAAAGAGCTATTGTCCTTTTAGAAAGTACCAGAGATTAGGTCCTCCCTGGTGGCACAATGGATTAGGACGCAGCACTGCAAGCTGGCCACAGTTGCTTCAGTGCGAGTTCTATCCCCGCCCCGGAGGTGACCACATGGCGCGGCAGACCTCTCCTGACCCGCCCACTGCTCCCCTCAGCAGTGTACTTCGTCAATCTGCCTGTTCTGCTCCCCGCTCTGTCTCTGGAGAATCCTTTCACCGCCCCTGCATCTCAGCCCTGTACCCCAGTTCTGTATTCAGAAATAAATACATCTTTACAAAAAGAAAGCACTGGAGATTAAAATCACCATATCCATGTAGCGTGGGGGATTCTCTTCTGAGATGGACTGGAACTGATTCAAGGGGCTTGGGAGATGGGGGTGGAGTTCTTAGGTAGGGGAGATTTCTGTGAAGCATGTGATAGTATTATAGGTTGAGGAGGACCTTTTGGGTAAAAGAAGTGTCATGCTCAGGATGTCTGTGGCCATCAAATATGCTGAGATTATGGAAGAAAAAAGGGTAGGATTGAGACTGGCTGGGATTGGAACTAGGGGAAAATTAATGGGAGCAAAATCCCCTCCCTTAAAAAATCCAAATCACCAGGGATGTGCTAAGAAGGCAAAGGAAATGGACGAATTCATCATTTCCCTATATTCACAAAATCCCCAGGGATCACATACGGCACTTGTTAAAAAATGCATTGGGTTCACCCCACATATCCTGAACCAGAACTTCTAGGAGAAGGGCTTGTAAATCTATATTTTTAATAAAGTACCTGACTTTTAATGACTAAGTTTAAAAACACTACTTTAGTCTAAACTAGTTTGGCAACAGAATTAAGTGCTCTAACCCAAGAGGCAGGGCAAGGCTGGGAAGCAAGGATTTTAGGATTCAGAGGTATTGTGTAAATAGTCTATCTGGAAGTACCCCTCAGACAAGACAGCCTTGGGAAATAGTACTTCCACCTTCTAGATGTGGGAATTGCAGCCCCAGGGAACTGAACACTTCAAGGCAGGACACTAATGCTTATAGGAAATTAGAGATTCTGTGATACAAAATATCAGCCCAGCACAATGAGTGTGGTGATGGAACTCCTCCAGCCTACTACTCAGCAAAAGAAAGGTTTGTGTGGTATTTCTGCCTACAGGCCTGTGGAAAACATGGATCAGGCTTTAAGCCAGTAGGAGAGCAGCAGGTGGTGTCGCTCTTGTGGAGGATGTTGCTATTTTAAAGCACCCACTGGGGGCAAATGGAAGGTCCTCAGGGAATCAGAAGGTCACAGGTGGCTGGATAGACAGTGAGGCAACTTGTTTCTCTCAGTCTTCATTCTTTGGGTTCACATGTACAAGGGTCTGGATTTCCTTGA